AGACTCGCTAAGAGGGGAAGACACTGCTGATCAGACTGGCAGTGCAGCTGGACTTTGGTCTGAAGTGCTTCAGTGTCTCCCATAAGGTCTTTGTGGACTAGACTTGTCTGTGGAGGACTGGTGGAACTTCATATTTTGAGACAAAAAACCTGAGATTTGTTCATCCCTAGTACTCTGCTCACCCTTGCAGGCTGCTCAAAATGACTGTGTGTAGATAGTGGTGGTGGCCAAGATGTGGTGGCCAAGACATCCCAAGGAGGGTGGTCGTGTTAAATCTGGGACCCACATCAGAGCCTGGCTGTGGCCCTCTTCCCATCCCCACGAGCCAGCCACTCCACAGTCTGCAGAGTCTGCACAGCCCCAGCTGCTGCTGCTGGGCCAGGCAGGGACGTAGCGGCTTCTGCAACACCTTCGCTGTCACGGACGGGACACTGAGCTGGATGAGGCGATACGCCAAAGATCACGCAGTTCTTTTCTATTTACATGGAAGCAAAACGATTCTTGAAAGGAATGTGTTTATCCTCATGTTCATCAATTTGCATCTATTATCTGCCTGTGTCGGTCCTGTGCAATGCAGCAGAGCAAAAGAAATTAACAGTAAAATGAAGAAAACTTAACGCAGAAGCAAAAGAAACCTGTAGATACAGTGTAGCATCTGCCCTATGTCATGGCGAAGAGGACAGTCTGAACCTCAGACACAAACTGCGTCCGCCAGACTGCTGTCACTGCACGAGATGACTGCAGCGCTTCCTTCCCTGGCTGCAGCCTCACCGGGGTCTCTGCACAAAAAGCTGTGTTCCTCCTGGTGCCAGTTAACACAGGCAGACTGGAGGGGACGGGGATCAGGCACCCAGCCCCTGCAGCTGACGTTGCCGCGCAGGCTGGACAGAGGAAGGAGGTCCAGGCGCAAGCTCACTGCTCGTAGGTTTTCAGCAGGGTCCCTCAGCAATGGCGGATACTGAGGGCGCTGCCAACACTGGCAGAGCAGCTCCTTGCTCGTTAAGTAGGTATGAGCTACAGCCAACTCTGCCATCTCATTCTAGCTCTGATCTACCCAGTGTCTTAGGGCTGCCACCGCATCAAGTGATCGCATTAATTGCCATGCAGCTGGGATGAGAGGGGGAGAGAACTGGGAGCAGATTAAAGCTTTTATGCTGCTTCCATTCACCCTCAGATCATTACCCCTTGCATTGCCGAGCATTCCCAGGCTTGCCACATGTCCCATGCTACTTCATCATCGGCTAGCATGGCCGTGGACTGCTTGCCTCCTTGCCACAAATAAAGGAAATTAAAATCTTATGAGAAGCCCTGCCAGAAGCTCTTGTTTTTAAGCTAGATGTTGCAGCCTGTTCTAAATGCGTTGGGCGGAAAACGACAGTTTTAACTCCTGCGACAGCTGAACAGTCGTTCATACCCGGTGCATCAAGGCTGAGATACCCCCATTGCTTTCAGGGAAAAATCTATTTTAAACTCCTCTCTTAGCCAGTATTTTTGCAGAAGAAAGCAAAGGGCTTGAGGCTAAACTTGATCCTCACAGGCTGCATATTTCAGTACTGGAAGGCTGTGACTCAGTGGCCTCTGGAAGCTCTCCAAGCTATGAGTAGCTCAAAGGAGGAATTAAAAACTCAACGAACTGCCTGTTCTCCTGAAACTTGTTTTGTACATGCTATGGAAGAGATGAGAGATTTGAAAGAAGGCGGTCCTGTCCAAGAATCATTGGCTATAACAAGTCACAGCAAGCAATGAATATTTATTTTATTAAAATGCTTAGACATCTTTTAATGAGCCTTTTTGCCAAGTTTATGTGGAAGAATTTGCCAAATACCATGTACACTATAATAAACCCCAAGGTACCTAATAGGCTTCCCCACTTGGTCTTTTGTCCCTGACAGTCTTTATGTAGAAATGTCAGAAGACCTGTTTTCTCCCCCAAAATGGGAAGGAGAGACTGAGCAGTGTTCCTGATGTTTTTCCAGACAGTTGGAAAAGCTGAGGCAAACAGAGGTACGTCCTGTGCTAGGCTGTGAAACCAGGCTTGGGGGTGTCAGGAAGAATCCCAGGAAGATGAATCTGAGGCTGGGTGTTAGACTTGGGCAACCAGTTCATCAGAGCTCAGGGAAGAAGATGGCCCCTTTGCTAAGCCTTCTAGACAAGAGTGGTCCTTGTTTCACTCTACAGTCTTCATCCCTAAATCTGCCTTATCCTCATCCCAAATCCATCTTGGGACCTGTCCATCCATGCTGGTTAAGTCTTACTTTCAAGCCCAAGACACAAGAGAGCAAAATCAGCACTTCAGATTAAAATAGAAAACAAATTCAAAGTTTCTGGACACTTCAGGAAATCACCCAGGAAAAGAGCTCTAGTACTTGCTGAAAACAGAGCTTGCAAGCCCAACCCAGGCAGTGAAGTGAGTGATCTTCCACTCTTAGGAGTGCCTTATTTGGGAAAGGAGAACTTTGAGAAAAGGCAGCACCATGGCTTGGTGCCTTCAGACATCATCTGTCAGGGTGCATTCCTGATCACAACCAGGAAACATCTTCCCACCCTTTTTGCCACATTTTCCCAGTTTTCCGAGCAAGGCTTGACTGAGCTGGCCCACCCAAGAAAAAGACTCGGTGAAGGGGTCCGTCCACCTGAAGTTAAAGCCATTGTTTTCATGCTTGCTGTGGGTGCTAGGACCTGGTGCTGCTGTGCCTCAGTGGTGTATTCTGAAGTGATCAGCCCAGGACAGAAGGCTTATCAGAGAAAGACATTTTGGTTGCCTTTGGAAAGCTGGAATTTCTCATCTTCTCAGATGGGATCCCCAACTGGAGGAGCTGTGCTGGAGATCTCTTCACCAGCAGAGAGAACGATTTCTGTCAAGCTTGGTACCTAACAGCCAGAACTGGTCAGAAAGTGTTCAGCTGCCTCTTTCTTTGTGGATTCCTTGGTCATAAAGTGCTCGTTTGATGAAACTAAAATATTTTTCTAGGAATGTGCTAATTCAAACAAAGGTTTAGCCAAAAAAGGGTTTCTGCTTCCAAAAGAGGGAATTTCTGGTTAATGGAGCGAGAGGGGATTGCTTAATTTAACAACCAGCTTGGTGAGTTTGAGCTCTCAGCTGAAATGTAGCAGAACCCAGGTTGCGTCCTTGCTCCAGCAAATGCATCCTGCTCATTGAAAGCGGAACAGCCTCAGCAGGGACAACTTGCACAAGCACCTGCTGGGTCCTCATCGTGCGTTGGCACAGGGAAATCACTGAGCCTGAAAATCCCCTGTTCTAGACAAATTCTGTGGCTGCTGGTTGTTGGCTGTCCAGACTAAGTCTATAAGGTGACAAGCCAACATGCCAGTGGGGACAGAAGTCCCTTGCTCTAGAGAACATGCAACCAACCTCAGCCTTAACGAAGCTTGGCCATTTCCAAGTCTGCAGGGATGAACATCAGCACTTGAACTGCCTTCCGTTCCTCCCCCAGCACTGCAGCCTGGTTGATTTTTAAGGGACAAATTTTTTTTTTGAGTTTTGCTCACTCGCACGTATTTGCCTGAGGACAGAATCATAGAATCCTTTAGGATGGAAAAGACCTTTAAGATCATCAACTCGAACCAAGTTGTATTGAAGGTTCACACTCCCCAAAATGTGCATGTAGACAACCACACGTTGATTTCCTGGAAGTTGCTAGAACGGCAAAATTTTAGTTGAGTTCACTTGTGCAGGCCAAAAGGAAGCCCTGATTTCTCAAGCTAACTTGCCCTGGTTTCTGTTCCCTTTCTCCCCCTCCATAAATGTAAAATATTGGGTTTTTTCTAGCTTTTCAACTAGGTAAATACTGTTGCATGGCCAACATGCAACCAATTATTAAGGGAGCAGATGTTTTTCACAGTAATGCAACAAACACTCTTCTTTTTTTGTCCTTTACCTTAAAGGTATTTTTTATCTTTTGATGATTTCATGTTCAAGTCTTTCGTATTGTTGCAGAGATTGTCCCCTTACGGGGACATGCATTTCAAACATGCAGGGGAGAAATAATATAAATTAGTCTGATATTGGTGGGTAAGAAACGGGCTCCCGTGACCCAACTGCCCACGCTTCTTCGACAGAGCAGGTGGCTTGTTGGCATGAGACTTGAGGTGGCACCGTTGCCAGTGTGGTGGCTTATGTGCATTGGGCTTACAGTGGCCACAACTGCGTTTTGTTTGGTTTACATCTGGTGAGCGCTGCTGAGCTCAGAAGAACTTCACGTGCCTTCATGAAGCCCCTGGGCATCGATCCCACAGGCAACGTCAGAGCCATTCCATTGCCAAGAATAATCTTCCATCAAAAAAAAAAAAAACCCCGAAAAAAAAGGTGCATTATCCAATACCTTAATCTTATCACACGGCTGGGTGAGCTTCAGCCTTTGGTAAAGGGTTTCTCCTTGACCCTCGCCAGTGACAGCATGAGTCCCAGCCGCAAGCATAGCCCTTTGGGAAGCCTCACCTCGCCTTGCAGGTGGGTGGCTGCGACTGTGTGCCTCCGAGTGCCCTGCCATTGTAGAGGCACTGATTGTTACTATACGTAGACCTCGCTGGAAAAAATCCTATTTTTGTGTTTTTGTTTGTAGTTCTCTTTTGCTGGTTTGCCACACTTGCCAGTTTGTTGCCCTCCTTGTAGAGCCTGTTGAAATATCCAGGAGGAGAAAGGGGAAGGGTTTGCTTCCAGTATATTCCCGGCTCCTTCCAGCTGCTACTTAGAGGGTGTGGGAATGCCTTGAGGTTCCTCTAGGAGACATATGTAGAGCTAGGGTTATTGCAGTGGGAAAACCATCACAAATTTTGCAAAAAGCCTGGATTTCTTCACTGTGTTTGTCAGGAACAATTTGTGGTGTTACTCCTTGTGCTTTTTTCCAGCTGGAAGAACAGGGTGGTGCCACAGATATTTTCCTTCTTATTGATTCCTAGGCTAGACGCACAACTGTCACCATGTGGGGAAGGCAAGTCTTAATGAGTAATCTCAAATGCATCTCTCTCCTTTATTTCAGAGTCTCCTGAAATAGGTCCCTCAGTTGTAGTTCACACAACTGTGACGTTTGGAAGTGAGCACCTGGATTCAGACCCTGCAGAGGTGCAGCAGTTAATTCTCAGTCACCTGGAGAGAATTGTGCCATCCTTGCCTAAACCAGCCAGCATCAAGTGTCAGAAATGGAGATATTCTCAGGTAATCTGTGGTGGGATCAGTCAGCTGGGAGAATGCTGCCAAGGCAATGCCCAGTGTATCGCAAGACACAGGACATCGTACAACCCAGTGGTTTTCACACTCGAGGAGCAAGAGGAAAGGGAGTAGTTGCTTGATATCCATAATACATTCCTCCACATAGCCGTGAGCAGCGTCCAAGGCTGGCCAACGACAGCCAGATCGTTTCTAGTCATTTTTTTATGTAGTGGACCTGGCTTAGTGGTAAGTCATGCAGCACTTCTGGTAAGTAGGGACAGGAGCACTGCACAGGAAGGAAGTAAATCCCACATATTTCAGTGGGATTTTTGCTGGTATTTAAAAATATGACTCAATCTGTCTCTTCTGTATCCGAAAGTATGTGATATTATTAGCAAAATTCCCACCCTACCACAGAGTAGCAGAAGTGCTTGCGTTCAGATGTACTAATTGTTATTGTTTGATTTGGCCCAGTTCAATTTAATAGAATGTTATGTGAAAAATATTTGAAAGTAAACTACCTAAGGGTAATAATAGCAAAATGTGTATATTTTACAGACTTCTTTTAAAAATCCAAGGAAATTATTGGCAATTTCCTAAAGTATTGGAGTATATCTACATGTTTACCCAAAGCCTCTTAAATTACGTTGATGAGATTGAATGTGGAAGTTGATGCAAACTATTTACTTAAAGCAGTCCCCTCAAAATTTTTCCTTTTATGAAGTCTGGAAAAGTTACTATAGATGACTGCTGTGAAGTCTACTCTTACCCTTTGATCTGCATCCAATTTAGGAACCTGGTCTTGTTAGCACAAAGTTTATTTTTCTGTGAGTTAGGCATTGGTAGTTTGCAAATCACTTCCCAGTTCATAGTTTTTGTTCTCAGTTGTCATATAAAAATGACCTTAACATAGGTTTTAGTGTTTCAGATGACTCATACAAAAATCATGCTATGTTTTGTATGTTCCTCTTTATCAGTTCAGGGTTGGTTTTTTTGGCTTGTAACAGTGTCTCTGTACAGTTGTCACTCTTAAGGCATCTTTTTCTGGTTGTGACTTCTGGTCTCTTCTTCTGCATTATCTGTTACCTTTCTGCTTCAAACTGCTTGCGAGTACAAGAGCTGCAGGTGGTAGGGAGGAGAAGAATTGGATCTGTCTCCAACAGAGAGACACTTGGTTGACCAACTCTGGAAAGGGCTCCCAAAGCAAAGTAAGAAGTATTTTTAAACAGAATTAGTACACTATAGATACTGGTGGTACCACAGAGCTCTGTCATAAAATTTGTCAAATTCAGCTACTTTGTTTATGTGTGCAAGGAAAGGGCTTAATATGCCTTTTCCTTACACTACTCACATGTTTAGCATAGTGTCAAAGGTGGCATATAAACACATGCATCATATATGGCCTGTTCTGATTTATTTCACCATGAAAACACAGATAAAGGAAAAGGCAAAAATGGCAGTTAATTTCTTACTACTGAATAATTAAAAAAAAAAAGTCTCAATTGCATTCTACCAAACAACTATGCTTTGTGAATCCTGGCAAAATTATGACCACACAGGATTTATTATAGCCTTGTACCTATTGCTTCATCTTTTAGAGGTAGCTGGAACAGTGACTGTAGGAATGAACTCTTACTTTCCACAATTGCTTCAAAATTGTCGATTTCCTAAATCACTAGGTGTGCGTCCTGTTACCCTATTTAAAAATTACATTCAGACATCATACTGCTGGATGATGCTCTGTTATTTTCTCAAACCGCTCTACAGTTTCTTGCTTCCTTCTCCTGCCTCTGTTGCCTGCTATCGACTGTGCTGCTACTAACCAAAACCACTGACTTCAGCAGCTGCTTGTGCTTTATGGCTGTGTCACAGGAGGAATTATCACCAGTCTTTAATTCGGTGGATGAATGTCAATATGTCTTAGATTGTCTTAGTCAGTGTAGGTCAGATCCGTTATCTCAATAAAGAGATCTCTATTGCCACCCTATAAAATAATCACTGCCTAAATTCAATATCTAGGACAGAGCTCCCTCTTTCTCTTAAAGCTGTCTTTACTTTCAATTATAATAAGCTGTTGCCACAGAAGCAAAGGGAACTGATAAGATGGGTGCATCTTTCCCTGACTCTTTTAGACAGGATTTAGCCTGCTTGTTAATTAAATCCGGCTGTAACATCCTTCACATGGCCAAACACAATCCTGGGATTAAAATGCAGACATTACAATTATCTGTGGTGGATGAGGGATTAGGACTTCCAAACTTCTACTGACACTACTCAGCAGCACAGCTGCAATTCTGGATCCCCTGCCTTAATTATGATAAGACACTATTAGCATTCAGAGCCAACAGCCTCCCAACCCATCATGTCCCTCTGACAGAAGCACTTTATATGTATAAGGGATACTGGGAAAACACAGAATCGTAGAAATTGGACCTCTTCCAAGGGGACCTCTTCAGGACCTCTGCTCAGAGCAGAACTATTGCCAGCACTAGGTGACCTCGACCATGGCTTTGTCTAGCTGAGTCTTGAAGTCTTCAAGGATGGAGATCCAACAGGCTGTGCCATATCACCGAGGGTAATTTGGAATTTATGTTGGACACCCCCTTGAAGAAGGGGCAGGATCATTCCTTTCCCCAGTCACTACATCTAGAGCGAGGGCCTTTACTGCATTGTGCACAGAGTCTTGCCACACAGGCGAAAAGATGCAGGCTCAGATGTGAAAATATTGATCCTGCGATCAGTATGACAAACCGGAAGCTGTTCGGTACAGCCAGCATCAAATAAGCACTGGGTAGTCAAGACGCTCAAGGACACTCAAAAAGCCTTTTTCTGCTAAACCTTTCTTCATTGTTTTATGCTCAGTGACCTTGATCTGTAAGAAAAAGTTAGAAATAAATTAAGTACTGACCTAAAATTAGTCTGAGAAAGACAATCTCTGGCTGGATTTACCATACATGACAAGATTCTTCTGTTAAGTTGAATAATGGAGAATGGGTCACAACTATCTACAAATTCATTTCAGATAATTTCCTCTTTTACACAAAATGCAGCCAGTAACATAAATGTGGGTGATTTGCAGCTGATCCAAACTTGGAAATGGCAGATAATGGCATGGCAGTGGCTAGGCGAGCGTACATTTGAGTCAATGGAAAAATTCCAAGGACTGAACAAAATGCATTGGGCTTTACATCTTGTTCACCAAAGCCGACAGTTGCATGATGGGATACAGTAATGGAATCCAAAACTTATCTTTGGACCAAAGGCAGAAAGTCAAGAAATGATCGAAAGAAAATTGTACTCTCTGTGTCATGCTTTATGATCTCTGTGGTTTGATCTCTGTTGCTGCTCTACTGCTGTGCTTCTGCTCTCGGGCTTTTTTTTTTGTCTCTCTCAGGCTTTCTAGATATTTTTTTCCTCTTTTTCAACATTTCATCCTTATGGGTCTTGTTTTGTCATTCCTTTTCTCAGACTATTTCTGCCGATCACTTCATCATCAAGCTGCCCAGCATCTTCTTATCTTTTTTTACCCCTTCTCCTGAGCCTTTCTTGCCCTCACAGTTACCTTTAGGCCAGTGCTGCTGCTGCCTTATCTCCGTCCTGAGATTCCCCAGCACCGCTCTGGGATGCACTGATTTAGTACAGCACAGACACTCAGCCTTTGTACGTAGGTTTTCAAACAGGCTAGAACAACGTGTGACACAGCCAAGCATGGTAAAAACACAAACACAGTGTGCTTTTACTCTGCCGTTTGACACACGTTGGTGTTTGTCATAACGTACAATACCGAAAAGAGGTCTTGTTCTCCCCATGAGTTCCAGGTAGCTTCAGGTTAATAGGTACTGGCCAAAACAAAGTCCATTCATTTTTAGAAATGTTACATAGAACTGCGCAAGAGCTGCCACTCCACAGATACAAGTTTAATTGAGCGTACAGTGCCAGGAAAAATATATTTAAAACAAATACAATACATACATTGAGAATGACATTAAGTATTTATCAAAGCAACCTTATTCAGAGCTTATCCCATGCTACTGCCAGGTAAAGTGTTGATTGTATCTCTAGCAGTGTCTAAAAATTCTTGTGCTGCTCAGATGAAAAAGGAGACCAGCACAGCAGAGCTGGAGACAGGGTGGGTTGTCCCAAGACTGTATGTACGCTTGAACAGCAGCATGAAGCACGGGCAGGTCATCATGACAGTTGTTACTCTGCAGTTCCCCTCACTTCCCGTCCAGGGAGGTTGACTGGTCAACCCCATCATGTTGCAGGCTCTTGGAAAGGTCAGGCTCCCTTTCCTTTGTTGAATAGTTACATATCTGGAGTTTTTTGCAAGCCCAGCTTTGCTGATGTGAGATCATGTATCTTCATACTTTTTGGCTTAGAGATCTCCATGCCTCATCTGTCCAGGGTCAGGCAATTCATTTCTGCTGAGGCAAGTTGAGCACAAGACAGGGTGAGACTGTAAAGTTTCTAAATGTCCACAAGTGGGAAATCTTTATACTAATTATTTAACTCCAGGAGATAAATATATTACTATGGTACTTTCATCATTAATGCTTGGACCTACGGTCTGGGATGGGAGGGGTGCTTCATATGAAGGCATGTTTGTCAGGAATACTGACCTTTCTGGTGTGAAATGGAGGTAAAGAAAATACTTTCTTTTCCATCTCTCTGTATGCTTTTCTTTTTCAGGTTACAAAAGCTGTGCCCAATTTTCCGGGACAAATGATTCTTCATACTCAACCTCTCCTGATTTGTGGGGGCGATGGATTTACTCAGTCCAACTTCAATGGCTGCATAGATTCTGCTATGAGTCTTGCAGAGGCTGTAAAGTCTCATTTGTAGCAATTTCTAAGTCAGCTGCTAAACAGAGTCAAGATTTATGATGAATTTTACTAATATGGCTTGAATTCTAGTTTAATGTTAACATCACTGGCTTCTATCTTGCAAAATTAAATAAAGGAAGATCTATTCGTAATAATTCGTAATAATGGTTGGGATGGAATTGAATTTTCCAAGATCTGTGCTGTGAATTGTTACTTTACTTGAAGTAAAGCTTTTTCTGGCTCTAGTCAGAGGCATCAAGCTCCAGCAGTCTTGCCAGGTCTCCTCATACTTTTACAGCCCATGAAAATTATGTCAAGGAGAGAAGCCTGACTTGAAGCAGCACAAAAACCCATAGAGCTGCGGAGTTTACTTCTTCTCTGAGCACTTGGAAGTGACAGAAGGAACATGCACAATTGATCCCAGAGCTTTCATACATACATGTGGTCATTTCTTGTGGTGTAAATCAGCCCTGGTCAGTGTTACTGTGTTGGCTATGGGGAATCAGTGATGGAGCATACCTTGCTATGCTTCTCAAGTTGGACGGCCTAGGCAGGGTCTGACCATATCGACTCAAGGTCTAACCATGTCTCTGGGCATGGACAACTTTTAAGTGAGGGATAGTAGTCGTCTGCCGACCAGCTTTCTTAGCCCATGGTTTTCTGGAGCCCTGGTTGCAGATTGCTGTAAGAGGTCATTTCAAGAGCTTGATGACGTTACTGTCAATGATGCGCCCCTGAAACATGGTACCTGCCCTGGGTGCAGTCTAAGCAGCATCAGCCCAGCTATGCTTGTAAAAGAAAGAATGGAGAGAAGGGGAAAGAGAAGGTGTGCATGTTTCCAGTGCTTTCATAGCAATAGGGCTGCTATCGCACAGTCATCTTGGGAATAGACATTGACAGCTGGGCTGTAACATGAGTTTAACACAGTAAAGTGGACTGGCCAGGAAGGTGGATGCACTTAAAATAGTTCAGTATTTGCCAGGTTAGAGAGTCATTGGTGCATCATGGCTTTCTGCTGGTCCAAGGTCCCCTGAACCAGGAGCAGCCCTTTCCTCCTTCCAGGTGGTGGAGGAATCGGGGTAGGATCAGCCAATACGGAAGGTGGTTTGGCTGCTTTGCCTGGAAAATGCCAAGAGGGAGGAGGGAAAAGAATTTAGTTCAGCGTGCTCTGTGGCAGTGTGTTAATAAGAAAACTGTGCTGACATTTCAGGCTTAGGGTTACATCACCACCACCATAAAAACTCATTTAAACAGCCAGTCTGAAAATGAGGTGAGTTCTAGACAGCTCTATATTTTGGCAGAACAGGTGTAGAAATAGAGAGACAGGTCCAGGGAAGGATATAAATACATGTGTGAGTGATTTGAAATACTAAAAAATAAACAGCAAGTATAATTGTGGTGAAAATACTCCCTGTCACAGTTTCAAGTATTTCTAAGCTACTAAACTGTGTTTCTGTGAAGTCAATTTTGAAATTACTCAGAAATTTACCAAGAAAGCATTTATTTATTCTAAATTTGATTTTAGCTTACCCTTCTTCTTAAATCACGTATCACAAGTTTAGTACCTCTCTCTACTACAGCACTAAAAATAACAAAATGCTATTTTCAGCAGAGAGAATTTTAACCATTAGAGAAGTACAATTCAGCCTCTTTTTGTGATACCCCTGCCTTTCACAAAAATCCAACATCCTGTATTCATAGCAGCTGAACACTGTAATTTACTGCTGCGCTTGACCATTTCTAATACGGTATTTTAAGTGACACGAAGAACTTTAAAACTTAAGATAAAAAACATCTTTGAAGGATATTTCATGATAACATGCAATTTTATTGATTAGTTTTTTTCTTCTTTCCATGAACTCCTCAAGTTTAAAACTAGGTGTTGTGTTGTGTCTGAACCAACCAGCTCCAAACCCTCAGGTTTCAATCACTGCATGTTGTACAGAAACGGGGAAGATTGGTGGTCATGCATGCGCACAAATCTTTTACAAAGGCATGTGATCTCCTATCTTCCACAGATCAAGGTAGCCATGAAGACCCACTCGGTCAGGGAATAAATCCGATCTCGTGAGGCATTTAGTATCAACTAATTTAGCACAAGCTCAAAAGCAGCCAAAGTCCCAGCTGAAATAAGGTTTTATGTCGCAGTGTTGGAAAACCTTAACCAAAGAGCTGTACCCCGTGGAGGGTGGCATGCAAAAGCAACCAGTCCTCATGTTTCCTATGTGCTCCTCAGCTTCCACCCAGACCTGGCTGTCCTGCAGGAGTTGGTCCCCAAGGGAGTAACATGCTGAACTGTACAAGAGGGTTTTCTGCTGGATTATCGGTTCCCCTGGAAGGTGTCGCCAGGGCGAGCGGGTCAACCATTGCTGGACCCATGGTGATGGTTTCTGGGGACCTATCCCACCAGTCTGCCTTCATCCAAGCTGTGCCTTACGGAGGGATGTGGGTCCTTTACCTGCAGGGGTGAAGGAGCAGGCTGTACCTTCAGGGGATCGTTCCAGACTCTGCTTGTGCTGTTTTCCTCATCTTCACTCTTTGTTTTTTGGTCCATTCTTCAAAGATGGATTTTGCATTAAAACACGCTAAAATTTGCACTTCCTTCCCCTTCCTTCAGTTTTGAATGGAAGCAAGCCAAACCACTAAAAATCCAAATAAAGATCAATCCTGAAAGTGTGTGACATGCAGAAAACTGAAAACGAGGCGTCTTCGACTCAACACTGTGTCATTCCTCTTGCCGCCTCACAAACAGGCGTGTTCTGAAGAGTCGTGATGCCCTCACAGGGGCCTTGTATCAGCAGCAGCCTTCGATACCACAAGTGACAGATAAGCGGAGATGTCTCTGACCCCGTCCTTTCAGCAATCTTACAACTTTGGTCATTATGAGACCTCAAAATACCTGATAATGAGCAAATCACAGATTCAGAGATTTTTCAAATAATGAGATTTTCAATTCAGAGGTTTTCGAACATGAATCACAGTCTCAAATTGCTCCCATCCTTCCCCATATCATGACAGACTATCAAAACGCCTCTTTCCTATAGCTTCCTCCTAGATTAAGATGATTTAAACAAAAACTACGTGGTTTTAAAGTGGAGTAGAAAAGTTCATGTACGTGTTCCTCTGGACACACTCCAGACAGCGGGCACTTAAGCGTCTCTGTGGCAATATCTCATTTTCTAGATGTGAGCAGAGAGACGACAGTATTAACTTTCCTATGCAAGGCAGGTAACAAGCGGTGATAGTTCAGAGAGGCCACTATATCCAAAAGGATGGCAACAGAAGAGACTTGTCTGGTCGATTTCCTGGGCTTTTCCCTGGATGGATGTAGTTTTCAATTAAGTGGCAGATCCATCAATTACAACCCGTATCTCCTTGTTCCCAGACAAGGGTGACAGCTGTGTCTGATCTCCTATGTGTCACGAGCCACAACTAACACCCAAAGTTGAATTAAAGCATTTCAACTCTCAGATGACGATGTTATTGTCTTCCTCATCTCAAGGAAAGAAGGGGCCGTAAACCATCAAAGCCTTTTAACTCACAGTTGTGTTAACTTCCACCCAGTGAACATCACTTTGCAGGGCTGGCCCATGCCATCTAATGCAGTCACTGCTTTTACAATATATTCAGCTGTCTGCGATGCATTTTGCTGATCTCTTGAGCATTTAACTGTACCTGTAGGTCTCTAACAGCAATCCTTCCTGTCCCATCAACGGCTCCATCAGCTGCGTGTTTCACCAGGAAAGGTTTTATGTTATTGGCCAAATAGCAGACTAGGTGTTGGCAGGAAGGCTTGGTAGACACAACTAAACCTTGACATCTCCTGCTAACAGAAGCGTTGTGAGATCTGTGGCTCAGCCAAGTGTGATCCACCCGACATCTGCCTCCTTAGCACTGTGCAAGGCAATTTTTGCATCACAACGCTTGTGTGGTCCTCAATCAAATGCATTTGAGAAAGCCAAGCATGCTGTACTGAGCCATTGGACCTCATACTCTGCCACCCCTTCCCCTCACAGACCGCCCTGGGTGATCTTTGCAGCCCGTTCTTCTTCTAGGAGGTGCCTGAACTGAGCATCACGTCCATCCATGCACTGCTCTTGCAGATATGTTTTTGGAGACAGTACTGACTGAAATCTTGGGCATGGGCAAGGAGATGTCTGGTGCTTTTCTGCCCGGTGGGCAGGTTGTGTGGCAGAGCATCTGTGCTGTTGCCACCGTGTCACGGGTACTGAGGCGGACCCATCATAACACATGCCATGACAAATTTTGGAGGAGGCCCTGGCAGAGAGGGGCTCGAAGTCATGGCACACCCTCTCCTCCTGCGGGGCATCCCTCTGGCATGGGGTTAGGGCTCTGTGGGTGAGGATCTGACCCTGCTGGCTCTCTACCCACTCCTGGCATCTGACCCCGCTTGCAGATCCCTGAGGTGGGGCAAAAGTGCTATGAAGTGGGTAAAAGCCTTTTAGAAACCAAGTGTCATAGGAAGCCACAGGACTCTTGTGGTGGCAGAGCCACATCAGAGCCACAACACCCGACTCCAAAAAGTGCTATTAATGATGTGCTGAAAGAGCTCTCATTACCCCCAGTTTTACATCTGCAGACCCAACAAGGACAGATCTGCTTGTCTTGTGTCCCAGAGACCTCTCCCTTCCCAAGGCAAGGAAGATGTTGGGACCAGATGCTCATCACATGAGTTGCGATGCCCTTAGGGGAAAATGTTCAGGTCTAGGCTAAACTAGCTCTAGGTGAGCTCCAGGGTGAGAAGCTGTGGCCATACAGGGTAGCCCAAGCCCATATGCACCTTCCCAGCTGGAGGCCAGGTCCAGGCAACCCCCTCCCAACCCCTCCATTCACACCAGGGCCTCATCTGCCCCTATGCCAGGCTGCAGAGAGGATGGCTGGTATGACCCTGCCTGCACCGAGCATATTGTGGCTGTTAGTTGGAATAACTCTCCCAGATCTATGAAATCATCTGCACACGTCTTGGTGTGTTTAGTGCAGTTTGTAGGAATTTAGTGCATTTCTAAAAAGAGCTGGGAAGAGGAGACAGGCGCCTAGCTCCTCTGTTCACATCAATTCACAAACCGCATGTCTCCAAGGATCTGGGCCGTATTTTTATGCAAGCA